AAGCGGGCGAACAAGGCAGCCTCCTGCCCATATTCGCATGGTTAAATTGTGGAACCCCAAGAATAGGCGAACGCTTATCTTTTGGTGGATTCGGGGGCCTCCATGCTTGGCGCGCGGCATTGCCTCCTCACCATCCCCCTCTCTTTCTCCGCCCGACTCCCCCAGCCCCGATTCCAGTCCCAAATCGTCTCCTTTCCCCATCCATCGAGGAGCTTCTTGGCAAGATGGGGAGGAAGGAGAAGGGATTCATGTGAGGTATTGCAATTTTCTCCATGTCCTGCCTTTCTATTAGCTTGATTTGTTTGCTCGTTGTAGTTTTCTGTTACAACATGATCTGCATTTGTTCAATCCGGGCACAAATTCCATGTATTTGTGCAGTTCACCTGGATAGAGTGGGGCTTTCTCTTGCTGGAAACTGTCAAATCGTTGCAAGACCCATGCGAAGTTAACAATCTTGCCTTTTTGTGCTATAATTGCTCTTTTTTGTTGTTAACTTTGGCCGTTTCACTGGCCTAATGGGAATTGTTCAGTTGGGCCTAGGACGAGTGTTTGACAAAAAACTACCACTTTAAGGGTCGTCGTTCCACAGAACTACCATTTTTTAAAAAGTGATCGAAAACTATCAAAAATTCTTAATTTTGTGACTAAAAACTACCAGTTTCACTTGATGATCGTTTTAGACGATTTAAACAGAAAACTGACAAAACTGGCCCACCCGTCAGGGCTAATGTGGCTGAAAAGTCAATGCCAGGGGAGACTGGCCCACCCGCAGCCGTCGCCTCCCACCTCTCACCCCCACCCGCGCTGCAGATCGACGCCGCCGGACCTGTCCCCCGTCTCGCCGCCGGACCCGTCCCCCCGTCTCGCCGCCGATGGACTCCCGGGGTCCGACGCCTGCTCCCGTCTCTGTCACGGACGCGCCCAAGGCTCCCAAGAAGCAGGCGCGCCACCGGCCTGTAGCGGACGCGCCCGGACCGGCTGCCAAGGACGCGAGTCCGATGACTTGCCGCCGCCGCCCAGTGCCCACACGCGATAGCTCTCCAGGCGCAGGGGCATGGGCTGTCTCGCGCACCAAGACAAGCGGGCGACGGCGCTAGGCACCAGCGACGGGAGGCGGAGATGAGGGGCGACCGAAGGGAACTCCGGCGAGGCGGCGGACGCGAGGCAGCGGATCTGGTCGGCGACGAGCTGCTCAACCTGCTCGCCGCCAGCCCCGACGGACTAGCTTCCGGCAGCAAGGGCTCGCCGCGACGGTGGTCCTGATTCCGGGGGAGGGAGAGCCTGCCTTCGGTGGCAACCAGGATGACGACGACGTGGAGGACGCCTCGCCGGGCAGCAAGGATCTGGCGACCACAGCGTGCAGCAGGGGCGTCTCCCCGGCGGGCGTGTCACCGGAGTTTGACCTCCTTTCCTCCCATGCACAGAAGCTGTTTGTGAAAATGCCAAAGAAAGATAGAGAGAGGAGGAAGAAGAATAACGTGTGGGTCCCACCTGTAATAACGGTCAACTGAACGGTCAACATGTTTAAATCGTTTAAACTGTCTATTACCTGAAACTGGTAGTTTTTAGTCACAAAATTAAGATTTTTTGGTAGTTTTCGACCACTTTTTAAAAAGTGGTAGTTCTGTGGGACGACGACCCCTAAAGTGGTAGTTTTTTGTCAAACACTCGGCCTAGGACCCCTGGTTAGTCCTTTTCAAACAAAATTAACAATCTCGGCAACAATTTTAAGTGTAAGGAAGAATGTGAAATGATAGATGAGGATTGCACACGATATTACATTGTACAGGTTGATGCTTTTCAAACTATAAGCTCTTTACCTGGTATTACACAATCTTATGTAAGTGAATGCACAAGCTTAGATAAGCCAGAGTAGCCCTCAAAAGGTCATGGTGGCTATCGTCTTAGAAACTAAAGTATTTGCAAAATATAAGTGCCTTATCCTGAGTTCATCGAGATGCATAGCTTATCTCGTCTGCTTGGAGATCAGATGGCCAGCACGCAGTTCACCTAGCAACTTGACTAGACGTGTATTTTTGCCAGCACAAAGGGCCAACTAACAACACAAATAAGAATTGGGCAGACGCTCTGCCATCAAATATATATATATATATATATATATATATATATATATATATATATATATATATATTTGATTAATTCTATTGATGTAAATACTAAAAGTGCGCATGGAGTTTTCTGGTAGAGCTCTACTGCTCTTGTCCTCTTATGAAAGTTGACATAAATTGACTTGATATATGAGAAGTGCTGAACTCATACGAAATTATTAAGATTTATAAGTGTATGCATCCTTTCTGGTTGCCAGTCAAGCAATGCTAACCTACCTCATATAATTTTGGTAGTCATGATTCCTGAACATATATCAGCATAATGTTTCATTTATTAACTTGCTAGTTACTTTTCAGGTACCCAATAGTAATGCTATCCATGATAATTATTTGAACTCACCATCGCGTAATTCCTGCATGCCGTGGGATGGAGGAACTGAATGTTGAAGGAGCGCAGAAAGTGGAGGAACTGAATGTCAAAGGGGTGCAGCAAGAGGAGGAACTGAATGTTAAAGGGGTACATCAAGTAGCTGTTGTTCCAGACACTGCCGGCTCACTGGAAAACTTGACTGATTCAAAGCCTCTTGTTTCTGTTGTTTTTACTGAAAGTTCCCCAGATGGTCATAACAGACATTTAAGTGAAGATTTAAGTTCGCTTACAATTAATAATATACGTGTGAATGGGGAGGAGATTTGCCACAACCAATCTAAGGGGAATGGTCACAATAGAAATTTCAGTGAAGATATAGGTTCCCTTACAATTAATGAATGTCGTGCAAACAAAGTAGAGGAAAATTGTCATGACCAGCTTGAAGGGAAGGAACAACAACAAATTAGTCGCCATAACTCAGCTGAAAGAAACATTTTTAAGGCAGCGGAGATCGCCGAACGTTTCATTCAGGCTCTAGATAATAGAGTTCTTGTTGAAACTGCAGCACCGATTGAATCTGTTAAAGATGCTGTTAGCAAATTTGGAGGGATTCTTGACTGGAAAGAGGTGATGGCTCTTTTTCTCAAATGTTTATTGTACTTCTTATTGCCTTGTCTTGGCTCTACAAGCTTATGATTTTAATACCTTTTTCAGAGGCGTAAAAATGTTCAACTCAAACTTGACAAGGTGCGGGAAGAAGGCCCCGAGTACCAGAGAAGATTCATAGCTGAAGAAGTTGAGAAAAGCAAAGTTCTGCAGGAGCTGTGTAGCACCAGGCGGATCATAGAAGGGCTGAAATTAAGCCTGGAGAAAGCACAAACTGGAGCATTGCAAGCACAGCAAGATGCAGAGCTCGCTGAGATACGATACAAAGAGATACAACAGGGTATTGCTCGCAAAGAGAGTGCTGCAGTGAAGGCAGAGATTGTTCTTGCCAAAGAACGCTACGCGACTGCCTTAGCAGACTTGCAGTCAGTTAAAGAGGAGCTAGAGCAGCTTGAGAAGGAACACACAGCTTTAATTACACATAGGGAGAATGCTGAGATTAGAGCACATGAATCCACTGCCGCGTCTCAGGAGATTGAGAAGATCGTGGAGGACCTTACCCTTGAGCTCATCTCACTGAAAGAGTCACTTACCTCTTCGCACGCTACCCACATTATAGCAGAGGAGCGAAGAATAAATGTGGCTTTGGCGTATGAGCAAGAAAAGCTGGATTCGCAGAATGAGTTGAAGCAAGCTGAGGAGGAGATTCAAAAGCTGAATGGCGAGATCTCGGCCAATAAAGATCTTGAGTCTAAGCTAGAAGCTGCTTCTGCGTTGCTGGCAAATCTGCAAAGTGACTTTACTGCTTATATGGAAGGGATACTGCCTGAGAAGGAAAGCGAGGTTGGAGAGAAAGTGCGATCCATGGTTAGTGTCCAGATGAAGCTGGCAAAGACCAGGAAAGAGCTTGACGATATGAGGACAAACATCGAAACGGACAAGGATGAGGTGAAAGGGCTGTGGAATACTGCTGCTGCATTACGAGCTGATCTAGAGAAGGAGAAGGCAGACCTCACAGCATTGAAAGATAAAGTGCATCATGCAACAGTTTCTGTCTCGTCTCTCCAGGAAGAACTGAGAAAGACGATGCGTGAACTCAGCGTTGTACAGGAGAGAACAGAAGCGGCTAAAATGCCCATAGAGCTACAGAAGGCTACTCAAGAAACACAACTAGCAAAGGCGAAGGCTCGGTTGGCCTGCGATGAGGTTACAAGGGCTAGTGAAGAGGCAGACCGAGCTAAGGCAGATGTCAACATTGTCCAGTTGAAGCAAGAAGCAGTTTCAAGGGAGATACTCGCGGTTAAAGCATCAGAAGAGATTGCAATGGCCTCAGCAAATGCACTGCAAGAATACAAAGAGGAGGGAGAAATAGATCCCCAAGCTAACCGAGGAAGTGACAAGAGCATGATGGTACCACTTGAAGACTACGATGCGTTGAACAAGAGAGCAAAGGAAGCCGATGACCGAGCTAAGAAGCGGGTTATGGAGGCAGTTGAGAAGATCAAGGAGGCCAAGGAGGGAGAGGTGAGGAGCTTGGATAAGTTGCATCAGCTGACCAAACAGATTGATGAAAGGAGGGAGGCGCTGAGGGACGCGCATGAGAAAGTCATCACAGCACAAGACAACAAGTTGACAATGGAGAACGAGCTGAGGAAAAGAAGAGCCAAGCATGGCCAACATTACACGGCGGGCGATGCCGATCTCGCGATTCCCGGTGTCTGCCTTCTGAATGATAGTGCATGCTCTTTTGATGCAGCGGGATCGTCTGCTTCTCATGCGCAAGGAGGAGGCCTAGGTAGAGCCGACACCATCGCGACAACTGCAGCAGCAGAGCCAAAGGCGCGGAAGTCCTTCTTCCCTCGCTCCATAGCGATGATGTTCATGAATAGGAAGAAGACACATTCGAAGTGAACCTCCGTAGTTTGCTGATTTCCTATGGTATGATCCCTCTGTACATGTATCAAGTAGGTTACACAATTTTTTTCACACCGATTGTACTTATCGTTCAGAAATGAAATCTGATTTCGTCGGTCTGAGCTTGTCACCAACCTTGCAATCTTTTCTCTTTGTCAATGAAGCTGTCTTCGTTAGAATCAGAAGAAGCATACCTCTGAACCTGTTGACAGTGTTTTCTTTTCGTCATTTAGCTTGACGATTTGTTATCTTTCACATGAGCATTTCTGTCTCTGATGGTTTCCAGAGGCTCTACTGCTCCCAGAATGCAAATTAATAAGTCCAAAAAACAGTAAGGCATCAGAGCTGTCTGAGAATTTATAAAGCCATAATAAAATGAAATGTGTTGGGTCTATATTCCTTTTGCTTAAAGTAAGTAAGAACATTTAGCAAAACAACTACACTATTATTTTTGGTTGAACAAGAGAAGTTCACACAACACCGTTGAATCACTCTGCAGCCCTTTCCTGCTTGTAAATTTATGGGGCCATTTGAAAAATCAGTCAAATAGTTTGAGGCCATCGCCGACGTCTTCGCAGTGCCTGACGTGCCGGAGAACGGCGCCGAGGTCCCCCTTCTTCTTGGCCCTGCAGTCGTAGCTCGGCGCCGCGTGGAAGCACGGCTCCATGGACGCCGCCTGCACACAGGGCTGGTCGGCCGCCGTCTGGTTCCTCGGCGCCAGCAGCAGCCACGGCTTCACCCCGGCGAGCCCGTGCCCGACGTACCCCACGGTGGACCAGCCGCTCACCACCGACACGTCGCAGTAGCTCTGCAGGAACATCTCCACCACCGCCTTCTGGTTGCGCGAGAGGTTCCCAGCGCCGCCGCCGACGGGCTGCAGCACGCTGACGGTCTCCCCGGTCACTGTCGCGTGCTCGTAGTACGTGGACCTGAGCTTCTCGGCGTACTCCGGGTGCTCTGAGCTGACGAGCACCGCCTTGGACGCCGCCGCCTCATGGAGGACGCCCGGGGTCGTGTCGACCGCCGGCAGGATCTTCTCCTGGCTCGTCGTGCATGCCGAGACCTGCTTGAAGTACTCCTCGAACGGCACGGGGTTCCAGGCGAAGGTGGTGATCTGCAGCCCGATCTTTTCTTGGAAGCTGCTGCCCATGTACGACGTGTAGTAGCTCGTGATGAGCTGCCACACCTCGTTGGACGGGTGGAAGAGGTACCTCCCGACGTGGTGGAACGCCGTGTCGCTCGCCGGGAACATCCACCGGAGCTCCTCCTCGAACCGCGGCACCAGGAACAGCCCCGGCGCGAAGTAGAGGTTGGAGCGCAGGATCACCCAGTTGACGTTGCCGAGGACGGCCTGGTCGTCGTCGCAGAAGAAGAGCTGCTCCGCCTGCCGGTAGTCGTGCTCCAGGTGCACGTACGCGTACGGCGGCAGCGACTCCGCCCGCAACCCCAAGCCGGCGGTGGGCTCGCCGTCGCTCTTGTCCTTGTTGGCGGGCCGGATGAAGTTCCCGTAGCTGCGGTCGCTGCCGCGGCGGAGCCCCTTGATGCGGTCGGCGAGGAAGCCCCCGGCGGGGAGCTCCCACGTGGCGCCCGGGAAGGGCTCGCAGAAGAGGCCGGCCATGTCGTCGGCGAGCTGCAGGAGGAGGACGCGGCGGGTGAGCAGCGCGTAGAGGAAGGCGGACGCGATGGAGAGCACGCGGTCGCCGATGTGGCCCGAGGTGGGCGCCCACACGAGGTAGCGGCACTCCACGAGGCCCATGCTGTGCGGGGAGGGCAGCTGCATCAGCGACTTGTTGTAGGAGAGCGTGCCCGGGCCGCACTTGCGGTGGAGCGCCTCGTACTTGCGCAGCCGGGACGCCAGGTACGGCGACGGCGAGTGCGGCGACGCCCTGCGGCGGTGGAGGGACGACGCGTACCGGCTCAGGCAGGCGCCCTCGCTGATGTCCGGCGACAGGAGCCCGCCGAGCAGCCTGTCCCGGCTCGCCGCTGAAGACTCTGGCTGAGCCGTCGCATTCTCTGAAGGAAACCATCGTTCGTCAAGGAGTGAGTGAGTGAGTGGACATATATATGCCATATGATCATGGTCATGTGTGAAAATGCGATCGTTGTGTCATGTACCGTGGCGCGAGGTGACGCTGACGCCCAGATGCCACACGTCCGAGAGGTTGGGGGAGAGCGCGAGGAAGAGCGGCAGGGAGAAGAAGCAGAGCGCCAGGAGCAGCCCGACGACGAGCCACACGGCGCTCCTCGTGGCTGCCGGTGGCTGCGGCGGCGGCGGCCGGCGGGACACCCGCGTCGTCGCCGGCTTGCTCTCCATTGATTGGATTCTTCCTTCGCCGCGATGGAGCGCCTTGCTTGTGCAGGAGCTCAACCGAGCATGCTTGGAAGTCACTAGCCCAGCCGAGTAAAGTTGACGGGGAATGCAGACTTTGGGGTTTCACCTTTTTGCCGATCCAAGTAACGACGGACGTATACGACGTTGTGTCAGATGCAAACTTGCGTTGTTTATGCGTAGACTCTCGCATTTCTCTTCTTTCAACTGCTTCGCAGTGAATTCAGCGCCTCGAGCTGAGTGAGTGGCCGGTGTTCTCTGTGAACATCGAGCTGCTGTCATGTCGCACGCAGTTGCTTTCTCTTTCTTCAAAAAGGCCAAAGCTCGTGAAAGTCCTCTTCTGCGCCCCCGAGCTCGGGGATGAATAGTAAAAAATCTAAATTTCTTCTGGGCAAACTTCAACAAATGTTTTGTAACTTTGACAAATTTCATCACGAAATGATATCCACAAGATCAATGATTTCCAGCGTGGATCCACATTCGCTCCACAAGATCACTGAGCAATCATACAGAGATACGAGTAAACACAGATCAATTAATCGATCGGCAGCCAATTAGCTGTACTTTATGGTCTCCCTGGACACTTTATGGCAACACTTTATGGTCTAAGTTCTTGCTGATAAATTATTTATCCTCTTCCTGGACATTATCACAGCTACAGGATGAACTCATGTTCATTTAGAATACAGTCCTACGTATGCTCCTGCTCATAATTTGGAATGTTCGGCTCATGAAACTACGGCCCTTTGAAGAACTATTTACAGTTTCTTTAGACATTATTTTCAATTTTTATGTTTCTTATTGGGAGAAAAAAATCATTTACTTATAAGACCAACTGTTTTTTCTGCGGGGTAAAATATTGGACCAGCAAAAACGTTATGTTTCTTATTGGGAGAAAAAATCATTTACTTATAAGACCAACTGTTTTTAAGTTCTTGCTGATAAATTATTTATCCTCTCCCTGGACATTAGCACAGCTACAGGATGAACTCATGTTCATTTAGAATATAGTCCTACGTATGCTCCTGCTCATAATTTGGAATGTTCGGCTCATGAAACTACGGCCCTTTGAAGAACTATTTACAGTTTCTTTAGACATTATTTTCAACTTTTATGTTTCTTATTGGGAGGAAAAAATCATTTACTTATAAGACCAACTGTTTTTTCTGCGGGGTAAAATATTGGACCAGCAAAAACGCTAGAAGGAGGGCTTGAACCTCCGACCTTGTGGTTAACAGCCACACGCTCTGGCCAACTGAGCTATTCCAGCTTTAGTTTCTTTTTTAATGTTTAAAAGCTTTTGATAGCCAAGACATTTTTGTTTTGCATGATTTCAAAAGTTTACCGTTCAACATTTTAAGGACATAGAGACATGCAAGGCCGTGGCTCTTTCAAGGGTTCGTGGCCCTTCTGAAACTTATGGGTATGCATTTGATGCTTTTGATATGTATAAGATTTAGATTTCTGGCAACCTCTCTAATGCCGGTGTTTCTAGCATTCTTACTGATGACCTGCCTCATTCTGATTTGGATCCCTCCCTCTAGTTCATCAAATGTCGGCCGCTTGTCTAATGGGTAGAGGAGAGGAGAAGGATGAAGAGGAAAAAGTGGGTTCGTGGTGGCCGGTGAGGGTCCAAGGCTGAATTGGCCCCAAAAATCTGCCCTAGTCCGGCGTTTCCGGCGGCAGCGGGGCTGAGATTGCGGTGCCAATCATTGCCACGTTCAGTTGAACCGATGGAACCCTCCTGGGGGTCGTGTTGACACATCTCCGCGCCGCGTACAGCGTGCCGAGCCGCTGCTGCTGCCTGCCTGCCTGTGCAAAGTCTTATCCGCGTCTAGTATCTTCACAGAGATTCGGCTGCCGCGCGCACGGCGAACGCCCTGCCTGCCTTGGTCACTGGAGGTTCGTTGGGCAGTTGATGCGAGCACGTCGCCCTGCTCCTGAGACGGAACCAACGATCGGACGAGCACCCTCTACACATATACGTATCACAGAAAAGCAAGGGGAAAATACACATGGAATCGATACAAGCAAGGAACAAAAAACCCACGTCCAGGGAGGAACGCCAGACGCAACGAATCAACCCCAGCAGCCTCACCCTCACCCTCACGGCAAATGGCGATTCCACGACACCCAAACCCAGCGTTACGGTCACACGCACAGCAGCAGCAAACACCAGGGAGACGCCAACTGGGCGCAGATCGTGCGTGGACACTGCGTCGCACGGCAGCAGACTCCTAGCTGTGGGACGCACTCACCCGGAACGGGTCTCAACTTGTGGGCCACCAACCACCGAGAAATATTCTGTTTATTTGGACGGAGAACCTCTGAAGAAACTGCCGCCCCGCCGAGGCAAAACGACGCAGGGGTCGCGAGCCGGCAGCCCACAGCTCTTGTCCAGTCGTCGCCGGCTCCTCGACCCTCATCGCAGTTGCCGCCCCCGCGGTTGGCGCTTTCCCCCCGATGGTCGCCCCGCTCTCCCGAGTCCTCGCCGCCCTCCTCGTCATCGGCCTCCATGTCCACGCCGCCCACGCTCTCTCAGGTGGAGTAATCCGGCCATCATCCCAGGTTCTTGCTCCAGCCTCATCGGCATCCGTTCATGGACCTCACCGGCATTCCTTCGTTCGTTCGCCGCAGGGTACCAGATAAACTGCGGCGCGCGCGGCGAGCGCGTGGCCGGCAACGTGACATGGGTCCCGGACGGGCCGTTCGTGCGCGCCGGCAACGCCGCCGCCGTCCCGTCCCCGCCGCCCGGGATGCCGCCGATGCTCGCCTCGCTCCGCTACTTCCCGGACGCGTCCGCCGGGAAGCACTGCTACGTGCTCCCCGCCGCGAGGAAGGCCACGTACCTGGTCCGCACCACGTACTACTACGGCGGGTTCGACGGCGGCGACAGGCCGCCCGTGTTCGACCAGATCATCGAGGGCACGCGGTGGAGCGAGGTCGACACGGCGGCCGACTACGCCCGCGGCCGCGCCACCTTCTTCGAGGCCGTCGTGCGCGCCACCGGCCGGCAGGTCAGCGTGTGCCTGGCCAGGAACGCGGCCACCGCGGCCACGTCCAGCCCCTTCATCTCCGCGCTCGAGGTGGTGCCGCTGGACGACTCGGTCTACAACGCCACCGACTTCTCCTCCTACGCCCTCAGCACAATCGCGCGCCACAGCTTCGGCCACCACGCCGACGTCCTCAGGTAACGGTCAGTCACCATGGCCGCCATGTTTCTCTTCGATCGTGAATTCTTGATCATGCGAAATGCGCGATTCTGCAGCCATCCAGATGCAGGAGATGAGTTCAACCGGTACTGGGAGCCGTACAGCGACGGCGCCCCGGTGGTGGAGAGCCAGGGGAGCGTGGCGCCGGCGGCGTTCTGGAACAAGCCACCGGAGGAGGTGTTCCGGCGAGGGGTGACGGCCAGCCGCGGGGACACCCTCGAGCTGCAGTGGCCGCCGGCGCCGCTGCCCAAGGCCAGCTACTACCTGGCGCTCTACTTCCAGGACAACCGGGCGCCGAGCCCGCTCAGCTGGAGGGTCTTCGACGTCGCCGTCAACGGCCAGGCCTTCTTCGCCGGCCTGAATGTCTCGACGGCGGGGTCAATGCTGTACGGCGCCGCATGGCCTCTGTCCGGGCAGACCAAGATCACGCTGACGCCCGCCCCGGGGTCGCCGGTCGGGCCGGTGATCAACGCGGCGGAGGTCATGATGGTTGTTCCGCTCGGAGGGAGGACTCATCCTAGAGATGGTACTAACAAAGATCCGATCAATGCAGCACTGCAGCAGCTTCCATGCCTGCGCCATGGCTGATCCAGCCTCTTTCCTCACGAGAACTCTGTAAATCATTCATGCATTTTACTCCATCATTTTGCTGCAGTGATCGGCATGGAGGGGCTCGCGAGAGGCTTCGCCAACCCGCCGTCGGACTGGAGCGGCGATCCTTGCTTGCCCGTGGGGAACTCGTGGACCGGTGTTTCCTGCAGCCAAGGCGCACTTGCTCGAGTAACTGCTCTGTAAGTTGCAAACAAGATCAGTATGTTCTTGCCAATTTCAGTCTCTCAACTATGGAGAATGAGCTTTGTGCATTTGCTGCTGCAGCAACCTCACCAATTTCAGTGTTGAAGGGTCGATATCTGACCACATTGCTAATCTGACTGCAATCTCCAGTGTGTAAGCTTCTTGACACAAACTGATGTCAGATCTGCATGCCAAATGAAAGATTGAGTGTTTTGATTGAAGAAATGTTTTGCTGCAGCTGGCTTGTGGGGAACAATCTGACAGGACAAATTCCAGTTATGAGCTCCCTGCATCATTTGGCATCTCTGTAAGTAGAAACATACTACATGATTATTTGCGCAAAAATGAATTTTTGTAGGTTCATAATTATACTACTACTGGTCGACAAAATGAAGATGCTGTCTGTTCCATTTCACTACTTAATCCGGGTTGCATTTCTGACCTGAAGGCACCTGGAGGACAACCAATTGGCAGGGCCGATTCCTCCGTCGCTCGGAGAACTTCCAAGACTTCAGGAACTGTAAGTGGCTTCAACATGCAGTCCATGCTTTGCCAGGCTGTTGCTGCATTATCCAGTCATGATGCTGCTCAATTGACATACATGTTGCAATTGAGCTATGTTGCAATTGAGCTCTGTTGCAATTTCTGACAACGTGAATTCTTGTTCAACAGGTTTGTGCAGAACAACAATTTACAGGGCAACATTCCGATCAGCCTCAACAGAACGAGCATTACATTCAAGTGAGTGATCACCGACATTGTACTACAGTATTATATTTTAGTGGAGCATTCTATTTTTGGAGAGCTTGTGATACCATATAGTCTTGCAGCGAATGACGAATTCATACTTTGACAGGTACACACCTGGGAATAACCTTAACCAACAATAATGTCGCAAGGAACAGAACATCAGATGTTCATGGGATAGTGAGAAGCCATCGACAGACAACAGTGTGAGAATGAGTACTGCACATGCATATCTAATTGGCAGAAGACAATGTTGGCTTATTTCTCTTTCGGTATTGCCAATGTTTTTGTTCTTTCTTGAATTTTTTTGGGAGACAAAGGTGTTACTATTGTATATGCCAACTGTACACTATGAACTTCGTCGCACTTGATTCCATTTATTTATGTGTATATGTAAATTTGTAAATTTGTTAGAGAGGCAATCACGAAGATAATATGCTTTTTTTTTTATCAATGTGGATGCTAGAGGCAACCTCTCTATTCAAAGAAAGTTTAAGGCCTCATTTTTTCACGATTACAAGGAAGACGGACCCAAGTACACATAACAAAGTTCTCTGCTCTGATGCAGCTGGCGTCGAAACGATCTGACGCCGTGTGCACATCTTCTTACGGCACTCTTCCTCAATGCAGTTTTGTATGGTTCATTCGGTAGAATTTTCTTCCACACCATAGTCCGAAACAGAATGGCCTCCTTTGTATGTACTTCCGACAGGGTGCTTGATTTTCTCAGCACATACATAGCAATTTTCCATGTCATTCTTATATCCTGGGATGTACTTACACTCAACTTCTTGTTTACGGCCACCTATGAAAAAAATAACCGCGTTAGGGTTCCAAGAAGTAAATACAACCAGTCATGCCAAACATTCCATCAATGGTACTCTACAAGGAAATGGTATTCTTTCATGACAGTTAGGTACAGAAAAAGGGTCTACTTCAGTCCAAAACTAGTTTAGCATATTACACAAGGGTCAGAAACATAATAATTAGTACAAGAACAATGCATATTCCAGAGTTTCTGGAAAGAAAATAAAAACAATATGATGGCATCAAAGCCCGCGGATAAAAAGAAACGGAGCTTACCAGCACAGTTATCATCAACAATGTCGCATGCACTGACGCGATAATATCCATTGGAGGCATTGTCGTTATTATCCATTTCTGCCATCAACTCAGAAAAGAAGATTTGCTCTGACCATGTGGCAACGTTCCTCGCCTTGAAGTTCATGTGCAAATAGGCGAAGTAGCCCTCGATGAAATCAAAAACATCGTTCAAGCGCACATGTGTAAACTCATAGCGATCCTGCGGATGAAAAGATACAAGTTGGAAGTCAAAATGGAGAATGTGAGCGAAAAGGACGGATATGAACAGAACTTTTTTTTTTGTGCAGATGAAGGAAGAAACATGTAGGAATAGATGAAGCAAAACAAGAGCTTACAGGGTGACTCTTATGATAGAAAACCAAGGACATGTTAGCTCTCTTCTTGTATAGACGCCTCCAACGGGATATCCGTTCATCCGGTGTCAAAAAGAGTAGCTGAAGACCCGTAAACTCTGCTCCGGCATCATATGCACTGCCTTCCTCTGTTTCGCTCTCTCAGGCAGGTTTGGCTCCTGATGTTTCTGCATCGGTTACAGGTTTGCTGCAGGCACCAATATGATGCAATTTCAATATCTGGATAAAGGCAGCTAATGGTGGAAATTTGAATCAAAAGACTGAGAGTTTCTGAACTTATAATCAAAGGTAAAAGCAAACTTATTGTTTTCCTTCCTAAAATACTATTTGAAGCACTGAGTGCTTTCACGCAACATCCATAGTATGATCTGGCGTCGTTAGGTTTCAGCCCTGATATTAGCTACCGAAGGGAAGAGGGTGGACCAAACGGCCCAACTTGAACGGAGGGGCAGCAGCTTACACGGAACGGCCCGCCGGCGGGGACGCATCCCGGGCACGCTTAGACTGCAGTCGGGCGCTCCTGCGCGGCTCTGCCGCCGCCAGCCGATTCATGGCGAACGCCGCGGAATCGAGGGTTCGTCTAGTGGAAGGGGAACGAGGGACGAGGGTTTCGTTTTAGGAAGATCCCACGAAACAGAAACGAACTCATCGGGACGAGGGACGAGGCTATTTTAAGGCGGCCGCTAGCTAGGCGTTTATATGCTGGCCCAGATGGGATCGCCGTCTCCGGCGCCGGCGCCGCCGAGGTGGGTTATACTGCGCCGCATTCCACAAGTGTGCCATGATCTCGACGACGACTTCTCCCTCACGCTCGGCGAGCCCCCGCGCCTCACCGAGCTCGCCGTGTCCCCGCATCTTGCCCCTGACGGCGTCTCTACCGACTGCTTCCCCTTGGTCCACGCCGCCGATCCGTCCGGAATCCTCCTCGTCTCCGCCACCTACGGCCGCTGCTCCATTGGCCCTCCCTCCGCCGACGAGCAGGCGGGGAATTACACGACGAACTACTTCGCCTGGAATGCCGCCATCGGCTACACCCACCGCCTCCCGCCGCATGAGGACTCTGTAAAGCACACCGGCAACGTCGGCCTCGTCGTCGCCCCTCGAGACTGCGACGAGTACAATTTCATTGTCGCCGAGCTCCTGCCCGCCGGCGACGGCGACCGCGCCACTCTACTCTGCTATTGGTCATACGGTTGTGAATGGGTGAAGAAAATTCTTCCCTTTCCCCTCAAATGCCGGTGGTCTGGTGCCCGTACATTCTCGCACCAAGGGAAGCTCTGGTGGTTGGATCTCTCGCAAGGTCTTCTCTGCTGTGATCCTTTTGCTGAAGAGCCGGAGCTCCTCTTCGTGCCACTCCCTGATGATATAGATACACACACTCGAGACAGAGATGTCGGCAACCGTCGCTGCGTAAATCTGAGCAATGGTGCGCTGTGGTTAGCAGAGATGACTCACCACCGCCGTGCGCTGTTCGTTAAGATGTGGAAGTTGGGCAATCAAGGGCAATGGACTCGCGATTACGAATTCAAGTTTGCGGATATCTGGGCTGACACCAGCTACAAAGAAACTGGACTGCCGAAGAAGAAGCCTGTGTTGGTAGCCATCAACCCTGATGATCCTGAGGTGCTTTACTTCGTTTTGGAGGGTAATCCCATCGAAGTTAACATTTGTGCCAAAAGAGTTGAGCTGTGCGTGGCTTTCAGCCCTACCACAAATTTGAAAATAGACCGGGGGTCCTCGCAATTTGTTCTCACTTGGAATCTTCCGACATCGGTAGTTTCATCATCAGGTGATATAAATGTTGTGTTTTTGCAAACTGCTCGGCATTACTTGTTACCGTTTGAGTTATTGTGTTGCTTTGCTGACTTGATTTTGTGTGCCACAAAGTCTAGGTACCATTACTCATCTACAATGCCATCCGTTTATACTGCCCAGATTACATGTGAAATCGAGAATGTATTAGTAGTTTGAGCTATGTCATTCTGGAGTTTGCGCCAGATAATATTGTTTGGTTTTCTGAATCGGTTATGTTTGCTGCATAGTTTACCTATATGGATTAACACACATATACTGTGTAGCTTATATGTACGACATCACGAACGGGTTTGAAAGTTGAGTCGTGTCGCTCTGAAGTTCGTCTTTACATTGTTGTGTTGAATTAATTATGTTTGCTGCATACCATGGTTCTCATTTCTCCTCTAAAATCTTGTCCATGCGTACTGTTTAGATTACACAATAAACCGAGAAAGGTTTTGACACTTTTGAGTTGTGTGGTTCTGGAGTTTCTGTCGTATATCATTCTGTAGCTTTGCTGAATCGATAGTGTTTGCTGCATATACTCATCCTTGGCCGCGATGGAGCGCCTTGTGCAGGAGCTCAACCGAGCCCAGCCGAGTAAAGTTGACGGAGAATGCAGACTTGGGGGTTTCACCTTTTTGCCGATCCAAGTAACGACGTTGTGTCAGATGCAAACTTCCTTCTTTGCAGTAGTAAATTCAGTGCCACTGCAAAGAAAAAAAAGAGTAAATACAGTGCCTCAAGCAGAGTGGCCGGCGTCCTCTGAACCGGACGGCACTTTGGACGTCAACACTGCTACAATTTCTTTTACCCGAGGTGCATCGCTCCAAATTTTTATCACTGAAAATGTGATAAAACAAGCCACATGCACGCCAAAGGGTTCACCTCCCCCACAAGAGGGTATTTCCTCTTTGCCCTACAGCGACAACAGAACGCTACAAACTAAAATAATCCATGGTGCTTAACCACACAAAAAACTAAGCACATACTCCCAACTCTGTACCTCGTTCGCTCCACATCTTTCTTTACTTCATCGCTTCTTCTTTCTGTCTCTTATGTATATATTGGCCAGCTAGATACTTGGACGCCATCATCGCCACTTCAAATGGGACGTCAAAGTAAGTAGATGAAGTAAGAAATTAATACACGCCCAAGGTAAAGAAACACGAATTGCTGACACAGCTAACCATCTAAATATGTCGTACTTTGAAGGGTGAATCAGTACAGTTACCTTGCTGAGCTCGAGTGTCGGCCGGTTGGGATTCATGCCAAGCGCTTCCCTGACTGCAGTCTCTGCAGCCTCCACCTCCCCGGGCTCAGGCTTGGACCACCTCCCGACATACACATGCTCAAGCGAATAGACATTCTCCAGGCCGAAATCCAAATCGCCAAACTGATCCAGTGTTTGCCGCGCCGAGAACCGTAGCTTGAGGGTTTGGAGCTTCTGCATGGCTCCCTGGGCAAACCGTAACTCCATGACGTGACTGGCGACCTTGAGTGTTGTTAGACAAGGGAATGGATGACCGATGTCGATCAATAACCTATCTTGTCTCTCTTGTGTGGGTTCAACAACCCATATGTCAAGATAACTCAACGATGGTATGCTCCCAAGCACTCGAAGGTCCTCCGCTCGCAGCGTTCTTAGGCCATGGATTACGAGGAAGGAGAGGCAGGACAGGGACGACATCCATCTTGGCAGTGCACAGTTGATGTTGTTGATCAGATGAATTGTCTGAATGTATCGAGGCCGCGGCAACAAATAGTCGCTTCCGGAGTCTAAGCCGAGATGGGCACCAATTATTTTTATCGTTTTGAGATTGACCAGATTCGAGAGACACCGGCAGAAAGGTCCCTCGTAGCTCTCGTTCCATTCATCGAAACTGATGAGAAGGTTTCTCAGTTTCGTCAGCTTCCCTACATCATGCAGCATGGATGGAGACGTTATAGTGGGGATAACTGGAAAATCTTGCAAGGATTTCAGATCGCCAAACTGATCTGGCAGCTTGGTCCGCCTGTCAATATGCAGGTACACTAGCTGCGTTAGCCGGACAAATTGCGGCGGCAACACTTCTATTCCAGTCTGACTTATGTCCAGTACCTGCAAGAACTGCAGATTCCGGATCTCTTCTGGGATCTCAGTTATGGATGTATTGCACAGCCGTAAATATCTCAAGTGAAGCAGATTGCACATAATCTTCACATGATGATTATCCACATTCAGACAGTAACTTAAATCCAATGCACGTATGACTGGAAAGCTTGAGAGGGCTGGCAGTAAATTGATATCTTGCCCAAATACAAAAAGTGATCTCACATGAGACAAGCTCATGGTTGCCAGCTTTTTAAAATCATCTTCATTTCTGGTTTGTACAGACAGTCGATGTATCTTGCTTGATGCAGACACAGGCTGCAGACCACCTACTTTTGTTAGGAAGTTCTCTTCGCTTGAAAGGGAAGTGATGAGGTCAAGCACCATATCGTGTACACGACAAGCCCTCGCTTTATTACCACTCCCAATATCTACAGGTTGAATCAAACTTTTGTTAATCAGCTGAGCAAAGTATTCCTCTCCTACTTCATACAAGCTCTTCCCATGCTCTTCCTGAACAAAACCTTCACCAATCCATTGCCATATCAAATCTTCAGCAACAATGGTATAATCCTCTGGATACACACTGATAAACAATAAACATGTCTTCAGATGTGCAGGTAGGTCGTAGTAACTCACTGATAATACCCTTCTCATGTCCTGCATATCAGAACTATCTTGTGGCCCGGAACCCATAGATTGGTACACCTTGGGCCAATCATTTCCTCTTTTACTAGCTAGCATACTAGCTGTTGTCATTATAGCCAATGGTACTCCACCGCATCTCTTTAAAATGTTCTCAGATACTTCAGCTAATTGAGTAGGAGGGTACTTGTCTTCGATACCAAATATTCTTTGGTGAAATAACTTTCTCGAGTCGATAGGAGAAAGAGGCTTTAGGTCATAAACACTACCAACTTGTTTGGCAACATCAAGAATACGAGTTGTTATGATTATTCTACTTCCACATCTGTTCTCAATGAAAGCATGTTTGATTGTTTTCCATACAGAAATGTTCCATATGTCATCAATCACAATGAAATACCTACAAGGGGATACCGAAGGACCATACATTAGTAACCTATATGTGAACTTCTCTTTTTTCGAGTGCACACAAGTGAAAGCATATCAACAGAAAGGAAACAAGGGAGTTAGCTGTGATGTACTCCCTCCGTCCGGAATTACGATGTATCTAGGCGTATTTTAGTTAATACACCCATTTTATCCGTTTCTGCGACAAGTAATTCAGGACATAGGGAGTATTATCAGTATTTAGTCAACCTCTAATTGCTTAGACATGAGCCTCCGAGTTAGAACAAAAGAAATTAGAAACATCAGAATAATGAAGATACAAACTGAGGAAACAAAGCATATCATCTTTCTAGAATTGGATCCTCTTATTCATGGTTAAATTAGAAGTCGTTCGTGCTTAAGGGATTACATTTTATTTAAAATATCATATTAGTAAAGGATCATACTTTAAGAATGATAAGAACACTCAAACCCTGTGACTTGCTTATTTGGGTGATATACTTATGGACTGAATGTCTTTGATTAGAAAAGTGTCAAGCAAATATTAGATATATCCACTAATTAACTACTTGTGTAACATGGAATAGCTCTGTAAAAACTTTAAGTCTACTTCGACTCCTGTTATTCAAACAATTGAGCAAACATCGATGACCTGCTAAACTCGTAAAGTTTGACCACTTCAATAGTGCGGTTGATGCTAAGATATATACCTCTTTTTTAGAAGAAAATCTCTTAGCTCACTGATGAGCTGTGCTTCGCCCCACACCGCTTCATTGATGTTACTATACTTGTGCTTGTCAAGTTGATGAAGAATGTTCTTGAAAATCTTCTCAATGTCCGGATTAAGAGACACGGAAACAAAAGCCCCACAATCGAATTGTGATTTAAGCTTTTGATACACCGCATTAGCAAGAGTTGTCTTGCCTAATCCCCCAAAACCAACAATGGAGACTATCTTCAGCTGCTGCTTAGACGCCTCGGTCATCGTCTTGACTAGCTCTTGGATCTTCTCTTCGGTGCCAATGAGCTCTGTCTCCTTTTTGTAGAGAGCTGACAGGCGAAGGCTATCAACACTCGTGACAACAGGCCGTTCAACACCTTTGTCAACCTTGTACCTATCGCGCCGCGCGCTGACCTCCTGGATGCGTCTCTTGATGTGTTTGACCTCGGTGCCGATCTTGTGGCGCGTCTTGGCCCTCGTCAACAGGTCGATGCTCCTGTGGATGAAACCCATGAAGCTCTGCGCCTTCTCCTCTGCACGGCCGTCGAGATGCACCATGAATTTGTCGACGCTGTCCTCAATTTCGTAGGACAGGTCCTTGACATCCTTGGCCCAAAGCTTTACAAGTTTACTAGGTGGGTGGTCAATCGGGGCCTCCGAAACCTCTATGAGAGCAGCCTCCATTCTCTCCAGCTCGGCCGTGAGGAACAGGATCTCGCCCCTGACCTTCCTGTGCAGGTTGTACTCATCCTTGAGCATGTTTCCCAGCTTGGGCAGGAGGGTGCTCATGGCCCCCGTCACGACCTCCATCCTCGATTGCTAGCTCGCGCTGAGTTGTGCGCAGGTGGCCCTCCTGGAGCACCTCCCTACGCGGCTTCAGAGTTCAGAGAGGGGAAGCTGCAAAATCCGAAGAAAACCCGAAATCAGGCCATGGGGACAGGAGTACAGGCGCAACGGACAACGCGGCGATCGAAACCACCGGACCTGTGGCAAGTCAAGCGGCGGTCGCGACTCCTGGGAAGCTGGCCGGCCTGCTGGCGAAGCTATCGGCGACGGCGGCACACGCGGTAGCACGAGGACATGGGTGGTCCGTGACTAGATGGATGGGTGGGAGGAAAGGATGCAGGGGATGGCAATAAATGGAGCCAAGCGGGAGGTGTACCTTACCTACATCGTCGGAGGAAGTCGTCCCGCGCGCGAGCAGTGCCGCCGACGGCGACCGCATGGTGCGATCTGCCGGCCACCACTCCGGCGGTGGGTCCAATCCTAGGGCCCACCACCCAATGAGCCAAGTGATGTTTTTTCACTAGGTGGAAACACGAGACACAATAGTCGTGACCGAGAAAGACTTGGCGATATCTATCGTGCGGCTGCGGGCTGCGGCCGTGAGAAATTTCGCCTCTCTTTTTTTATTTTGCGGGAAGAGAAATTTCGCCTCTCGCCGCGACTCGCTGCCAACCGCACCGGTCGCCGTGCCGTTGTGATAGGTGTGAAAATGGAGCGGTGTCCCTCAAAAAAAGAAAAAAGAAAGAAAATGGAGCGGTGAAAATAGAAACGAAGAGGAAATATGAAAACAAAAATGAAAACAGAAATTAGTAAAATGAAAATGAAAACGCAAACCACCTACTATTGTCACGAAGTTCTCTTGGCTTGAAAGGGAGGTGATGAGGTCAAGCAGACTATCATACACGATAAGTGCTCGCTTTATTACCAACTCCCAACATCTTTAGGTTGAATCAAAGCTTCTATGAATAAGGCATCCGCCACCGCCCCATGAATGGATAGTAGACGCAAAAAATAACCGCCCCATGAATGGATAGTAGACGCAAAAAATAAAATAAAATAAGAAGGTTGATATAAGATATACAAACTACAAACTAGAAGATATCCCGCGCGTTGCTGCGGGATTCCAACCACTTATTTTCGGATAGAATAATCATATTTAAGGGGTGAAAGCATTAAGATCCATTTCCATACGAAAAAACACTATATATCAGTGCACCAAAAATTTGAGAACATATTGGATATTAATGATACCTGAAAGTAGTGTTCCCCTAAAGTATCATAAAAGTACTTTGGTACCTGTATTCATACTACATATTGGCAGGTTGGCCCATTGTTCCTAGACCTAGCAACATATATATGAAGAGCCTGGTTTCAAATCCATGCAAATTCTACTGATTGAATATTGATAAGGATCTTATTCGAAAAATATTTATAAGAATATACTAAGACAAAGGTATTTGAATGAACTAAAAAGAGGTGTGCCCTTAGCTGCCACATATGAGAAACGGAAGGAGAGTATTAACAGCAAAAAGTTTCATTTCAAGAAGCAAGCACGTGGTTTGCAAGTCTGATATGCTAATCACTTCACAGAACTGCTTCATGTCCTGGAATAAGAACACATCCAACCGAAACTCCTGGACACCCGTCGACGGTATCCCCATGGGACATCCCATCCTTTGAGCTGACTTAAACACTCCCAGCTTCAGCACCGCTGCCAAACGTCTTGGCATGGCGAATCCTGAGCTGAAGCAAACATAATGATTAGTACTCCCAAGTCACAACCATTAGTGAATGGAGAAAACAAATTAATCATAAACTTCTAAGGCAGATGACGAAGATCTTTGAGGCTGATAGGATGGCACTGGATGTTGTAGCACCCATCAGATCCCCTGACATGCTAAGAAGGGAAGTCAGAGGTGACCCTTCAAAAACGAACGCCAACATTATGAAAGAAAAAGGAAACAAAAACAGACTTGCCCATGCTCAGCCTTCACGCCGTTGTTGATTCGCCAGCGCCGCCAGTGATTTTTTTGTCTTGCCTGCATGTCTGTTCGCTCATCATTTTTCGTGTCTCCGGTCGTTCGAAAGGAATATGAAAGCTGATGACTCGGAGGAAAGTACTACCAGGGGCTCGCCGGCGACGATGATGACGGGCGGTCCGAGAACCAGAGCGCTAAGAAGGTAGGCTGGCTAATTCCACACCAGCGGCTGCTTCAGCTCCACATATTCAATTTAGTCGATCTATGTAGTGCAAATATGGGATTGACATCTCCTTGCCGAAGTAGAAATTCACTGGCGTGAGCCGGGGAGGAAGACGCATGGGAATTGGGAACATAGCGCTATAAAGTAGGATCTCCGGCCGACCGGCCGCTCGACTGCCTTGTCAATTAATCCTTTGGAATAAAGGTATGGTGGCTCGAAGATTAAAGGAAAGGACGCGATGGGAAAACACTTCATCAAGGAATAAGCCAGCAAGCGATCGGGTGTGAGGGTGGAGTACAGAAAATAACGAAGAGGCATGGGTGGGAAAATTGCTGAGGTGGCTAGATTCTGACGTGGACATGTTGCATGTGTTGCTCCTATTTAGTATCGATGATGTGGCATGATGATGATGTGGATAGTGTGCATGTTGAGAAAATAGGTAAAAGTGGAGAGCAACTTTTTAAGAATGTTAGATATGATGTACATCTAGCATAGCTTTCCTCTGTCACTTCATCTAAGTGAAGCATGAGATGCCTCCTTATAAATTGGTCTAAACAGGTGGTACTAAGAGCAACTCTAGCAGACACCTTTAAATCGTGACCCTTAAAAGCGGGATAAGGGTTGAGAAAATCACGTTTTCGAGTGTTCTCTTTTACCGCTCGGTTTTGCGGGTTTTGTTCCGCTGCTATCGATTTCGGTCCCGCAAACTGTAAAAGCACACAAATTAATTGACCAAGATTTTGAGCAAATAAAACATAAATGTTGAGAATTCAAACATGATCTTGACAGTACCACACAGTTTTGGCGACATTTGAACATAGTTTTTGTACCACAACCCAAAATACATCACCACACCATCCGTCATCACTCCATCATCATCATCATCATCATCATCATCATCATCATCACAAGATGCCACCATTGCCATCACCACTTGCCTAACCACCATGCTCATCGAACCTTGGCACCTCATGGCCTCTTCTGGCTAGCCTCCTCCTCTCTAAGATCTCCAACCATGCCATGCCATGTCATTCTTTGGTGACCTCGTCCATCTCATTCCGGTTCATCATCATGATCTTGTTATCCTTAGCAAGTGTAGGATCAAAAATATGTCTAGAGGGGGGTGATCAGACTACTTGACCAAATAAAAATCTAGTCTTTTCTCAATTTTACTTCTTGGCAGATTTTAACAACTTAGCACAAGTCAAGTAAACAACCTACATATGCAATTCTAAGAGTATAGCAGCGGAATGTAAAACAATTGCATATGAAGGTAAAGGGAGGAGTTTGGAGGGAGCAAATGCAATGTAGACACAGAGATTTTTGGCGTGGTTCTGATAGGTGGTGCTATTGTACATCCACGTTGATGGGGACTTCAACCCACAAGGGTAACGGTTGCGCGAGTCCACGGAGGGCTCCACCCACGAAGGGTCCACGAAGAAGCAACATTGTCTATCCCACCATGGCCATCGCCCACGAAGGACTTGCCTCACTAGGGTAGATCTTCACAAAGTAGGCGATCTCCTTGCCCGTACAAACTCCTTGGTTCAATTCCACAATCTTGACAGAGGCTCCCAAGTGACACCTAACCAATCTAGGAGACACCACTCTCCAAAAGGTAATAGACGGTGTGTTGATGATGAACTCCTTGCTCTTGTGCTTCAAATGATAGTCTCCCCAACACTCAGCTCTCTCTCATAGGATTGGATTTGGTGAAAACAGGGTTTGAGTGGAAAGCAACTTGAGGAAGGTTAGAGATCAAGATTTATGTGGTTGGAATGAAATATCTTGACCTCAACACAAGTGTAGGTGGTTCTCTCTCAGAAAATGTATGTTGGAAGTGTAGGCATGTTCTGATGGCTCTCTCCATGAATGAAGAGTGGGTGGAGGGGGTATATATAGCCTCCACACAAAATCTAACCATTACACACATATCACCAAACTCGGTGGGACCGAATCATGAAACTCGGTCAGACCGATTTAGTTCAAAATGTGAACGTCAGGATTTTCGGTGGGACCGACATGTCAACTCGGTGGGACCGGTTTCATTAGGGTTAGGTCATAACGTAATCTTGGTGAGACCGATTTTGATAATAGGCAAACAGAGAGTTGGTCAGGAAAACTCGGTGGGACCGATTCGCTCATCTCGGTTAGACCGAAACGTTACGAAGGGAAACAGAGAGTTTGCATTGCAATCTCGGTGGGACCGATCGCTCATCTCGGTTGGACCAAAACGTTATGAAGGGAAACAGAGAAGTTGCAATCCCATCTCGGTGAGACCGAGATCCCTATCGGTGAGACCGAAGTGACTAGGGTTTTGTGGCAGTGGCTATGTCAAGTGAACTCGGTGGCGCCAGGTAGGAAATTTCGGTGGGGCCGAGTTTGACTTTTGGTTTGGGACATATGTGGATATGAGAAAGTAGTTGAGGGTTTTGGAGCATATCACTAAGCATTTTGAGCAAGTAACTCATTAAGCAACACCTCATCCCCTTTTAATAGTATTGGCTTTTCCTATGGATTCAATGTGATCTTGGATCGCTAAAAGTAAAATGTAGAGTCTTGAGCTTGAGCCGACATGTGTTCTTAGTATTTTGAGGGGTCCACTTTCTAATCCATGCCATGCCAATCATTGAGCTTTCCTAAAATATTCATCTTGAAATAGCATTAGCTCAATGGGCTATATGTTGTTAGGAATTACCAAAACCACCCAGGGATAGTTGCACTTTCAGCAAGAAGCTTGGCCATGGCTTTGTTCTCGTCAGCCATGGCTCTTCTCTCCTCAATGGAAGCCTTGCGGTCGGTCTCCTCCTTGAGTAGTTGCC